GTGTCATGACAATCACGTTAACTTTACAATTAATCCAAGAGTCACTTTATCCGGTGTAAAGGAAACGGGAACGATCAGTCAGTGAAGCGCTCTACACAAAGTAGAGAGAACGACGACGACCGCCGCCACGGTGGATAAAAAGGGTTCCTGGGGGAATGGAAAGGTACCCCGGCGGGGTTCTAGACAAAGGAATCGAGAAAAGTGCATCGATACGTGGGATCGCGTACTTGGGGTCTTGTGTGGACTGAATCGACCGGGGTTATATACTACGGCTGTTACGAATATTCGAATAATTCGAATAGCAGTAGAATTTGAATGTAATATTCGAATCATTCGAATTATTCGAAATATTCGGATTATTCAGAGTATTCGAATATTCGAAGCGATCGCATTCTGGATTGTACCGAATAGGAATCTGGACACAATATATTTCATCGCGGTTTATCGTGAAAAATTCTTTTCACATTGGCCATTACAATTATTTGTTTTTCAAATTCCTATTCGGTATAATCCGAAATTCGATCACTTGTATTATTTGAATATTCAAATGATACGAGTACTTATTAAATTATTTGTATATTGCAAGTATATTCGTATCCGAATATTTGCAGTTCTAGTGTACGTGTATACTCGTCGAAGGCAAGGCAAAAGGTGGTTCCACTCGGTCGGCGGATTGCTCTAAGTTCATAAAACGGGAGAGAATCCAGACCTACGATGCACTGGAGAACGTAGTTGGCCCATCGATTATCGCGCGATCGCTGGTATTAGTAACGATAAATGGCAGTAATAAACTGCGATGCCCCGATCGATCGTGCAACGCATTGTTCCAGACCTGAGACACAAATACGTTTCCGTAGACGGTGCAGAGACGTCTGATCGATCCGTGCCGACCACCGTAAGCGTGTCAACGTCGACGACCGGAACTACTAGCTCCTACCAATTAGTCGTATTCGTTTCTCAAGGTATAGGGTAGATTCACACGAGCTTAAAACGTCCCACAGAGACGAGATACAATTTCTCCTACAATTGATCGGTACAACTTAGGTCGTTCCGACAGTTGCAACGTGTTTGTACGCGCGTTCGTATCAGTTCCGGCGATACAACGCGCGAAAAATCTATCGTTCCAACCATCTCAGTGGTCCAGCATCAAAATTTAGCAGGCTCATACGCCTATTTTATCTCGAGCCATGGGAAATTTTGTAACTTACAAACTTCATTTAAATAGAAATATAGAAACGAAGAAATTCTTATCAATTTCTAGGATCCTTTTCGACGACGATTCAACAGTGTTCTTAACATATCATCATAAAAGCGGAATTTTATTTTTTGGATTTGTGATCTTACCCCTCGAGAAACGAAAACGTGGCAGCTCGAAGCTGGAGGAAATTCCGTCGTCGATGGACTTCTCCGTCGGAACAGTTTTCTTGTCGTTGACGAGAGTTTACGCCAGCCAGCTAGTCTCGGGAGGGGGTTTTATGGTCGAGTCTGGTTTCGGCATATTTTCTGGCAAAAACAGTGTCGTCGAGACCACGCTCCTCGAATTTCGTCGTTTTACCGAGCGGACCAAGAGGGGGAAACCGAGATGCGTCCAGTTTCAAACTGAGAAAGAATCGTGCGAGCAATCGGAATCGCGTGTTGCTAGTCCCCGTTGGTTTTGTTCGTTCGCCTACTCTCCCCGTCGCGTGTAGTGTTGGAATTTGAACAACAGACACGGTAAATCAGAAACAAATCGACACACCAACGCCCACAGGTGTACACAGTCGAGCAAACTCGGCTTTCGGTAGGAGAAAAATCAGCGTAGGGGAAATGCCTTCTATCACTTAGTCTCGGGAAGTATAAAATTTATTTGTAATTGTTCAAAAATTATTTAGAATTTGTAGAATTAATTAAGAAATTGTTTTTTTTTTTTGTATAACACATAATTTTAGTACTTGGAATTAATTTACCAGGTGGTAAGACACCCTTTCCATACGTCACTTTTCCCCTAGCGGAAGCTGAGTTCGCTCCGTTAATGTGCGTATACGAACGTGGAATGTTTTTTCTGATTATAGTAATTCACTGTGTAT